GCCCCCCTGCCGAAGCAGGGTCACCTACAGCAGGCTGCAGAGGACCTCGCCCAAGTGGGTCTTGAATATCTCCAGAGGAGACTCCACAACCTCCCTGGGCAGCCTGTTCCAGTGCTCCATCACCCTCAGAGGGAAGAAGTTCTTCCTCATGTTCAGACGGAACTTCCTGTGCTTCAGTTTGTGCCCATTGCCCCTTGTCCTGTCACTGGGCACCACTGAAAAGAGTCTGGCCCCATCCTCCTGACACCCACCCTTCAGATATTTATAGGAAGGAGATCCAGGCTTCGTGGGACCAAGGGAGGCCTGGGACGGTGTGTGCCGCATGGAGGGAGGATTGGCCTCCCCACGGGGCGTGTGCAGCTGGTGTCACTGTCACAAAGCTTGGTGTCCCTGCTGGGGCCGTGGCTTCCCGTGTTGGTGGCGAAGCGCTCCCCGCACAGCAAGCTGTCCTCTGGGGCTTCGGTGCCCCATACCAGGCACACCGTGCAGTTCACACTCGAGTCGTTCTGGTAGCCGCAAAATGCTTTTTAACTCTGGTCGTGAAGGGTGCTCTCAGGCTCTCTGCTCTCAACAGAGCCTACTCAGTTATTGCTGTGCTTCACAGCTGGAGTAACTCTTGGTCTCTCCACATTTTTCCTCGTCCAAGTAGGTGTATACCCTCATAAAAAGCTGTAAAAATATGCCTCCGGTTTTACAAGTAGGAAGCAATTTGCTAACACAGATTTTTCCAAATACTGATGGCTGTCTGATAAATACACAACTTTTCAGCATTAAAATGGTAGAAGCAATACCACTTTGTGATAGGTCAGAAGATTTAAGACTGTGTGCAGCATCTGCTTATTAGATTACTTTGCTTTTTTTGCATAACTTTTACTTTCTTTGTCAGCAAATAGTGTTCCAAAGCCAATAGCCCTGTTTAAATTACGATATTTAGGAATGTTTGTATATCTTGCACAGCATATGGAGGGAGGATCCTTCAGGATTTCCTGGGGGAAAGTTTATACAGTTGAAAAAGGAAGTTTGTGTGTACCCATCTAATCCTTTTATACTAATTTTCTCCATTGTTTCCTAAACTTCATTTATTGTGTTTTCTGAAAAAAAGAGAGTGTTCTCAAAATATTGGCTTGTTGCATGTGATTGCTATGTTGTGGTAATGTGTAATGTTTCCAAGATCAGTATTTATGCATCTTACTGGTTAAATTTGTTGTTAATCTGTTTTATTTTTCCTGTTTAGTTGAAATTTGATAGTGGAGTATTACTGCTTAGCACACACAGACTAATCTGGAGGGATCAGAAGAATCATGTAAGTCCCACTTTTGTCTCCTTTATGTCATTCAACTGTGAATTCCATAATAAACAACAGGTAGCTTGCAATGAAAAGACTACACACAGAGAGATTTTTTCTTTCCTTTGTGTGTGTTTTGTCTTACAGGTTTAGTCCATTTTTTCACTCACAGTGGAAAGAAAGTTTTGTTTAAGGAATGTTCTCTCACCCAATTCTGTCTCAATAAAATGATCGTGCAGAGATGAGGAGAGATGTGGATGAATCATATAAATTTTCCTTTTCTATGGCACAAAAATAGAGGAGAAAGGACACTGGTATCATGCACTAAAAACTCTTGGTTTTGAGACTGAAGTTGAATGTGTCGGGCAAATCGTAGTGCAAACTCCTTTCCCACGCTTCTTGTCTAGCAAGACCTTTTTTTCCTCATTGTATTTTCAAGTCCAAGTTTCACCTGTCAAGTGAAGTCTTCTGCTCCCACCATGTAGTCCCAGACCATGATTTGATACTAGGATGTGTTTGGTGGCAGTATTATTTTGTACAGGTCTTACCCTCCCAACTGGCTGTTCCTGCGCTGAACCATCTCTTCAATAAGCCAGAACATTTGGCTGTACTGCTATGGAAAATTAACTCCAAGGTTAAGTGGCAGTGGCAGAACTACAGTGTAATACTGCTGCTGAATGCTTTGTATCATCAAGCTGCAGCCTGAGATTGCAGGCTAGAAATGGGTGAGAAAGACTACAAACACATAGAAAGCTCTAAGCGTGCACCACCCACCTTGCCACTGCAATTGAAGAAGTCCTCCGCAGAACCAGGTCGGATTAGGCTTGCTTTGGGCACAGTCGTTTAGAAACGTAGCCCTGGAAGCCAAAGTTTAGACAGAGCATGTTCAGATGACAGCTTTTCAAAGACGAATTGTATTCCACTGGACTAGTTTTGTGCAAGGATAGCTGAAGCACCTCTCACACCAAAAGGCCGTTCCCTACCAAATCTCACATCCTTGCTCCAAAGCAGGGAGCTACTAAGAGCCTTTTGAAGGGAAGGTCACCAAGGGTGTTCTGAATTTGGCAAAGCAGTATATTTTTTCTTCAGAGATTGTTTCCAGGAACAGCAGAACTATATTTGGTACAGATTTTTCAAAATGTTTTGAGAACTGATCCCCAGGGTGGGGTTACTGTTAAACAAGTCAGGGGTTGATTGTCCAGACCATGAGCTATTCTGTATAAATGAACTTTCTTTTGGTACAGTCAGCGTGTGATAATTTACCTGTGCTAAACTGTCTGTGTTAATCACTTCTTATTTCTACATCAG